TTCAAATAGGCGACCTCCTATGAGCGATCTCCAACTGCAAAGACATCAAACCCCTTCAAAACGACGAGTTCAGATTCGAGCTTCTCGATCTTTTCAGCAACCGAGCGAAGCTGAGCCACCAATGCCACTTCGGTCTCCTTAGCACACTTGACAGCATCCTAATCAATGTGCATAAACTCAGCTGCTAGGATCAAAGTCTTATGCATTGTAGCAATCAGAGAGGACCTCCTCAAGTAGGCAGGACGCTTCGTAAAAGAGTCTGAGCGGATGACAGTTTTCCTAACTCTATCTACAAACTTGGCGCATACATCGACGTCCTCAAGCAGGTTAGCTTTCAGCAGCGCACAATCCTCGGGAAACTCTCCAGCCTCAGACTCAGTGGATCTCTCACAATTGCCCATGCGAGCAGATTTCCCCTTCTCAGCAGACGAATCAGTCACAGCAGAATGAGGAACAGGCCCAGGCGTCACCTTAGCAGTAGAATCCACATTCCCGCTCTTCATAGCGGCAAGCCTCTTAGAAGCCGATCTAGACTTCGCTTCCGACGAACGCTTCGATACAAACCCAGACACTGGAGGCATCACCGAACCCTTCTGCTAGGCAAGTCTCTCAGCAACATACGCGATCACCTTCGACGCAGCAGGTTTCACAAGCTCAAGCTTAACAGTTTTCTCCGCCCTCTTAGGGGAAGTTAGATTAATGACAAGCTTCTCAGTAACAGACAAGCTCCCACGAGCAGTAGAAGAAGTCATTGGCTTCTTCTCAGCCGAAGGCTCACAAGTAGGTGAGGAATACCTTTTCTTTCCACCATCATTGGCAACAGGCTCTACAGCAGCGATCAGGCAAGCCAACACCTGATCCTTTATTCACTTTATCTCTTCCTTCAGAGGTAAGCCACCTCTCTCCCGATGAAGAGGGCTGAGCAGCCAGCGTCACTCATGGTACTTAGCAGGAATACCCAAAGCGATGTGCGATTTCTTCATATCTATCGAAATCCTTAGAGTTAAGCCAAACTCTGAATCTAAGCAAAGTAAGAAAGACGATCAAAAAATTGAAGTCATGGAGCAACTCAACAAAAATTCAAGCAAGACAAAAATGAAGCAGTTCACTTACCACTGATAAAGGTAGTCAGGACACGCAACTCAAGAGAAGAGTCAGACTCCCACTCTTCGCTTACCTCCAAGGTATCTTTCGCCCACCTTGATCACCTTTGCTAGAAGCATCGAGCATCCTATGGCAAGATCTTAGCTACCCCACACCTTCCTTGTGGCCAATCTCAAAGAAATACCAATACTCATTTATGGTCAAAGCCAAGATCAAAGAACCTGCTCAAGTTCGAGAATCCCACCATCGCATGAATTGCATTTGGGGAACACTGAGTAGGCACGCATTTCATAGAGCATATCACCTCTTGGAAAAAACACGGCATGGGAAAAGTAAATCCCAACACAAAGTAGTACGGATGGAATTTGATGGCCTTCTTTTAGCAATGGCGTCCTCGTCACATGGTTCATGGCCGCTGTCATCTTTCACACGCTTGACGCAAACCCCTGATGGAATCGCATGCTTGTACGCCTTATGAAAATCCCGAAATAGCTCGTTGGAATTAATCTTGACATGTGCAGCTTTGAAATAGCCCACCTTGCCGGAAGAACCACCTTGATGATACAAGTGTGGAGGATAGTCGTCACTTTTGCAATCAAAGGAAGACATCTTAAAGTCTCTGCAAAAAGTATGAGAAAAATATTTAGAAGGCAACTCGCGAGAAGAGAATAAAAACTAAAATAAAAAGAAGTACCGCAATCCCAGCGCCCCCGCGCCAAGCCTCTCGGCCCTCATGCTCTCTCTCATGCCCAACATTCCACGACTCAAGTCGTTTCGGCCCAACATAGGGGAGAGGCCCTCGCCTCCTTCCCCTTTCTCTTCCTCATACGCAAGCAGCCCAGTGAGGCCCAAGGCCTCTCATCCTCTCTCTCTTGCATGCAGACCGACCTAAAGCGGGGGAAAGCCCACACCTCCTCCTCCTATTTTCGCTCGCGCGCTAGGCGCCCCAAAAGCAAGGTCGACTTATGCGACCCAGGCCACCAAAGACCGAGAGCCAGCTTAAGCTGGACTCTCCCTCTCTCTCGCCTCTATGTTGCACTAGGCCCTTGCCCATCCACCCACAAGGTCCGACCCATGCCAACCTTTCAGCGTCCCAGCATCGCCGACACCTTTGCCAAGCCGAGCCAACCCTGCTTGCCGCACCACCTACAGCCCTGTGGCATCCCTACCATGCCATTCACACCTTCTTGGCACCCACCAAGCCAATTTTTCAAGTCCTAAGACTCCCAAAAAATTCAAGAAGAAGAAAATTCAAATTTTTCTTACCTTGTAGCGGCACAGAGAAGAAGAAGAACAACGAGAAACGACTCTTTGCAAGGGCAAGAAAAGAAGAACGCTAGGGGTGGGGGAATAAAGATTTCCTGTGACTTCTCTTTCTTGTTGGAATAATAATTGTTCTCCAAATTTATTTAATCCATTGCTTAAGGCAAAATTAAATAGGTATTGGGGGCAATTATTTTCCTTTTCTAGAAGAAGTCTATCTTCAAATCAAGAAAGAAGATCAATTTCAAATTGGGAAACAATTTTACAAGCCTAAGCAGCTTGGGATTCCTACACCTATTATCATTTTCCTGCATGCAGCACAGTAGGTGTGGGGGTATTTGTGGAGCCTAAAATAATCCCAAAAATTCTAGAGGCGACACGTGAACTTTTATTCAAGAAAGACAAGATTGCCCTCAATAAATGGGCATGGTTTCTCAGATGCTCCCACACGCAGCTCACACCCCAGGAGGTCTCAGCAGCTGAATACAACTGCCCACAGCTCACCTGCCCTTAGCAAGGAATTAAAGATAAGGATTAATTACCCAAATCCTATCTTTAATACATTCCCAATTGAAGATTAACTCCAATCAAGTAATAAATTAGGATTATTACATCATTATCTCAAGATATTATTTCCTATTTAAATCTTGAGAATATTTAGAGAATATCTCTCCATTAAACACTATGGCTAGCCCTATTCCTATAAATACCCCATATTTTATCAAATTTTCAGAGCTTTTGCAACCCTAAAAAAGGCCTAAACACTTTACTCTTTGAGAGAAACTAACTTAGGCATCGGAAATTCGTTGACTTAACCCCAAACCCCACCCCCCCCCCCCCCCAACACCTCATGGGCGAATGAGGCTTAGGTCTCTGATCAAAGGTATTGATTGTTTTGCAGGTGCATTTTCGTCAAAACTGAAGATGGCGAAATTTGCATCAACATCAACAGTGAAATTTTTAGTCTTATTCTTGAGGATGTATATTTTCATGGTAGTGAGATTGGTTTATAAGCTGAAAATTTTGACATGTAATCACGAATATTATCTTTCGTTAATATCACTCCTGTCACGTAACTAATAAAGAAAAACTAGTGTTAACATTGATGAGTATTGTATTCAAGAATCTACTCTCGTAAACACATGATCTTCCTAGCCTTTGGTGTGATTGTGAAGCTGTACATAGGGCTATAAACACTTTCTTTTTCCTTTTCTTCCCTTTTCCATTTTTTATTGATTTAAAGAAGATTTTGCGAATGGATAGGGTTTTGACCTGGTAAAAGGACCGAGGAAGGGAGGAAAAGCCAGAGAAGCACTTTGGGGGAGGAACTGCCAGAAAAGCCTTTGGAGAGGCTTTGGAATCCATTTGATCTAAACAGCTCAATTTTCTTATTTTAAGCAAAACAAAAGCACACAGAATCTTGTCTCTTCCAACCAATAAACAAATAAAAATCGTACTCAAAAGAAGCTCTTGAGAGTTGAGAGTAACTTAATTAAGCTTAACTATGGTTTTTTCCACCATTAATCACTCTACAACTCATCATCTTTTTTTATGGATTAGAGTGTCACACCTACATGGTGTTTTTAAATAAATAAAAAAAAGTGATCAAATATTCCAAATTTACCTTTTTCCCGTTCTGATTGGTACCATTTATATTTTGTCATTAAATTATTGGAAATTTAATTAATGCATCGTAACTTTACAATCCTACTTAATTTTCTATTTTTGTCTAAAAGAGAAAAACTTACATGATAGAAATACATTACAACTGTTGCGTTCTATATTAAAACAACATTATGTCTAAAGAAACCTACATATGGAATATATCATTAGCATAAAACACCACCGTAACGATATATTCGTATCATTGAAAAGCCTTCTCCTTCTTAAGTGTGCACATGGCTAAAACAACCTACCAAATGTTCATCAATACAAAGTTACAAACTGCTCAACTGTATCGGCAATTATCTTAAATCAAGCTTGAAAATCCATGATATATGATAGTGACAAGTATCTTCCTTCATGATGTATGATAATGAAATGTATCCTCCTTCATGATGTATGATAGTGACATGTATCTTCCATCTAATATATGATAGTGACAACTGACAAGCATCTTCAGTCAAGCTTGAAAACCCAGAATCCACAACGGACTGGCTTGTCTGCCCTCTCACCTTCTATTCACTCTTATCATTTTCTATTTGTGCGGTTACGATTAAATTACGTCAACATTTTATATTACTATTATTAATATAAAATTTTAACATAACTTAATCGTGATCGCACAAAATAGAAAGATATAAAAGTGTATGGAAAGCGGAATGACAGAGAAGCCACAACACATAGAAGGTACTTATATATGTCCTTTTGGGAATATAATATACATTTTATATTTGTTTGAAATGCATAATATGCAATTATTTTGTAAGCAAATCATAAAATTTAGAAAATTTAAGTTCAAATTTTCCATGGAGGAAGAATAATATTTTCAAATTATGTAAGAGGATGGAGAGAAATAATATATTTTATTTTATTTTTTCCCAAAAAATAAAAAAAAAAACAAAACAAAGAAATAGGGGTAAAACAGTAATCTCACAACCAAACTCTGAATCGTACAAAGTATAAATACCCCAAAGTCAGTTGTTCTCAAACCGGGAGAGGAGAAACAGAGAAGGAAATATACAGAAAAGAAAGAAAAAAGTGGCACGAAAGGCAAGCGCAGAGCATTGCTCTGAGAATTCAGCTCTGAAATTTCTGTATTGATTCTCTGATTCCCTTTGCTGGGATCAGAGGTTCATCTTTCCTGCCCCACTGGGCACATTCCCTTTTTTTGTTTTTTTTTTTTCGGATTCTACTGGTTCTGGCATTACAAATTGGATTAAGGAGAAAGGAAACAAAAAAAAAATCACGCAATTTTGATAAGCTAAAAGCCGCTTCCGACGACAAGTGATTTTGGGAAATCAAAAGCGCGCGTCTTGTGATTTCTGCTCAAATGGGTATCTCACAGAATGATGGTAAAATGGAAGGTTGGCTTTATGTCATCGGGTCCAATCGATTTGGGCTGCAACACTCTCGCAAAAGGTACTTTATTCTGGAGGATAATTGCCTCAGGAGCTTCAAAGCCAAACCTTCTTCGGACTCGGTGGTACAGTTCTTTTGTTCTTCTTCGTCTCATTGTGCTTTTTGTTCTTCTCTGGCCTGTCTTTGAAAAGTTCTAAGTTGAAGTGAAAACCATGTTGCAGAATCATTGTTGTCTTTGTTTGTGTTGTTATGACATGTTGCCTATGACATGTGATGATAGTGTATGTGCGGTGAAAATTCGTTGATGTGGAATTCCATGTCCCATTGATTTTTGGTTTTGTGCAGATGTAATATGTGGTTTGATAATTTGATTAGATGGTTTTGTGCCGATCTGGAATTCATTTTTTTTCCTTACATGCTCGATGACAGTGACATCTTACCTCCGGTGACGCTTTTCAGCATTCCTTAATTTTGCAATTTCAGCAAGGGTTTTGTTGGTACAAAATCAGTAGAAATGCTCACTGAAAACTTTCCTTGATCAGGAACCAGTTACAAGTGCGGTAATAGATAGCTGCATTCGGGCTACGGATAATGGAAGGGCAAGCATTCATAGAAAAGTATGGACCTTAGTACCCTATGATTTTCAGAGATTCTGGATAAATTATTGTTGCAATGTGACAGATACATTTTTTTAACTCAGCATTAAATATCTAATGATTTGGGCAACCTGCAGGGCTTCTTTGTTTTCACGCTCTACAATACTTCCAATAACAACGATAGGCTCAAGGTAGGGTGTATTCCAAGTCATACATCATTACTTGGATTTTTCGTTGTATTGATACGTAATTGAAATTTGAACTTTTGATAGTTGGGAGCAAGTAGTTCAGAAGAAGCAGCAAAATGGATTCGTTCATGGCAGGATGCAGCATTAAAGGTTTCATGCTGCGAAGTCACTCCATTGGTATAGTAGTTATATTTTCATGATATGTATAATAAGTTTTATATATTTTCAGGTGTGTCCGAATACAGCACAGGATTTTGTGGCTCGTTCCAAGAGAAGATGGCCATCTTTGAGGTATATATTGGTTGCACCTTGGACACATTTCATCTCATAGTTACTAACTTATATTCCCGTACAAATTCATTGTAACAATTATACACGCCTGTGCGGTTATAACTTTTTTTCAGGATTGAATATCTCGGTCTTAAAAGCTACAATAAAATTGCTTGAACTATATTCTATCTGCAAACCTGAACTATATTCTGTTCTGAATTGATTGAACTACTGTGCATTTTTACATGTCACATAGGTTGTAGGAATCTCCAAGTGCTTTACTTATAAAGAAAGAAAAACAATATTAATTGGAGGTAGTAGCGAGTACAATTAACATGTTCTTTTAGATTTGAAGAAGTCGGCTGAACTTTTTTGTGTAACTCTGTATCACTTTGCAAATCTACAGTCACAGTTCTTTTCATACTTTAATTGTTTTGACAGAATGAGTGGTTCCAGGAGGACATGAATGCAAAAACTCTGTTGACCGGACTTTTAGCTCATTGATGCACACAGAAAGAATGACATCTGATGTTATTGCTCCCTCACCATGGAAAATTTTTGGTTGTCAGAATGGTAAGACTTCATGTTCTTATCTGCATTGCAAGTGACTGAATGTGTATGTGTGAAAACTTCATCTCTTCTGCTGCAGGACTACGGTTTTTCAAAGAAGCAAAAGATTGGGATTCCTGTGGAAGGGTGAGCTTCTCTTATGATATACAAATTCTTGATTTTTGTACTTTTTTGTCTACTTTTCTTACCTCAATGACGTCCATAACTTCAGCACTGGGATGATCATCCGGCTATAATGGCAGTAGGAGTAGTTGATGGAACTTCGGAGGCCATTTTCCGGACTCTTTTGTCTCTTGGCCCCTCAAGATCAGAGTAAGATCACTGACATGTATTTCAACATTTTTATACAGTGGAGTTTCTGATGACATTGTATTGGTTTATATAATTATATAAATAAAAATATGCTGTTATTCAAACCAAGCGTCTTGCAGATGGGATTTCTGTTACTACCGGGGTAGCGTGGTTGAGAGCCTTGATGGTCATACAGATATTATTCACCAGCAGTTATACATTGATTGGCTACCTGGTTAGATTTCAAACCGTGTTAAAGAGAGTTATATAAAATATATATGCTGTTATATGACACATCATGGTTTACAGGGGGATGAAACGAAGAGATCTACTGATGCGTCGCTATTGGAGAAGGGAGGATGATGGAACATATGGTAATGAAATTCTTCAAAAATCTAAACCATAACATGAAGCTATTGAGCCACTTTATAGCTGCCCCTGACCTTCTGTATCTGGTTTTGTCACAGTAATCCTCTACCATTCTGCGTCTCACAAGAAATGTCCACCAAAAAGAGGCTATGTCCGTGCTTGCCTTAAAAGTAATGTATGCTTTGAGCTAGAGATACTTATTGACTTACATATATGGCTTGATATTTGCTAAATGCTCTTCTGTTTTCCGTATCGTGAACTATTTTCAACTGCTAAATAAATGTCAACACAGCATACATGATTGTTCTTCTTTTCTTCCTTCCTTTATTCCATTCATCTGCAACTCAATTGTTCTTTTTTAGGTTTACTTTTCATCCTAGATAACTTCTATATGAATATTATTTCTGTAAAAATGCAGGTGGAGGATATGTTATAACTCCTGTGAACGAAGGGAAACAATCACTTGTGAGACACATGCTTGCTATTGATTGGAAATTCTGGAAATCATATCTACATCCGTCATCAGCAAGATGCATTACCATCCGTATGCTTGAGATAGTTGCTGGTACCCTTCCATTCTTTGCTTAGGATTGCATTTTTTGTTCCCTCTCCATTTTCAGGTTCTTGTCGATGCAAACCTTCATTGTTTCCATAATTCGCAGCATTAAGAGAGCTGTTCAGAGCAAAAGCTGGAACTAGCTCCCCTGAATTCTCATCCGGAGACATGTCAGGAGAGATCAGATTATCTCAAAGTGGACAGCAGAATATCAGGACCGAGGTTCAGCACCCTGGAGAAGTCAAAGAGATGGAGGAGGGTGTTCTCATGGAAGATGAGGTGGAAAAACCAGAAGGTCGCACAAGTTTGAAGGGGCTGCACGATGCTGCAGACGAGTTCTTTGATATTCCAGAACCAACAGAGTATGACCAGTTCGAGAACGAGTGGCCTTCAGATATGAGCATGGAACAGAACCCCACGGTAACTTCACTGATCACCAAGACTATCTCGTAGATATCCAAATTTTCAGACTCAATATTCGCTTCCAATTGCTCCTGTCAAGTTTTATATTCTGTCATGCACACTGTTGCAATACAATCTATTATCTTCTGACCATGTGTGTCAACACTGGATCTGCAGAGTATACAACATCCCAAATTGTCATCAGCTGCCGTTCTCGTGAAGAGATTGCATGAACTTAGAGGTCAGTTTGTTTCATCAGCATAAGTTGCTCTGGATGGATGGGGATGTCTAGTGTATTCGGTTGTATTTTGATTATTTTGGCCTAAAATTTCTTACACTGCAGTTCAAAAGAAGGGTTGTACGGACTTACAAGAGGTGTCCAAGGAAAATAATGTATGCCCTTATGGGGAAACCCTTCAAAAGGATCCAAGTTGTGCTCTACCTTGCAGCTGGGGATCAGCCGATCCTTCTTCATTTTTGATACGCGGGCCAAATTATTTACAACATCGTCAGAAGGTAACTATTTATTTTTCAGTTAGGCTATGTTTTAGAAGAAGCCAAAGAATTTGAAATACAACAAGATTCCTTGAAGGTTCTAGATTAGGTGTAGTAATTTTGACTTGCATAGAACCTGTTGTAAATTGTAATTCAATTACACACCAACCAAATTTGATGAAGCATAATTTGACTGCAAACCTGATCTACTCTGTTGGATGGGGTAAATAATATCTAAGAGTTGATTAAGATGGTCTTATTGAACGATGCGTTGAGCATCTTACCATTAAGAGGTTAAGGAAATGCAGATGTGAAGAAGAAACTCAGATTATGTACCATGTGATGCTTGATTTTCCAAGTCGAAGTGAACTTTTTCAAAAATACATGATGTGGTTCGAACGAGTGTTAGTATTGTGGTCAATCTTTAATTGCAGAAGGTGGTGGAAAAAGTTTTAGGCACCTCTGTAAAAGGTAAGATATACGCGTAGCTCTGCTGGCCGGATCAATATCATAGTTTCCTCTCAACTGAGAAAATTTGGAAGAGAGTAATCATGCAAAGGCTCCGCTGGAATTGGAAAACAAGAATTTCTGAGAAGTTGGTTAAGTTTATGACAGGACGGTTTATTAGGGAAGTAGAGGTGACCATTCTGATCGATGTATTTAAAAGGGGGGAAGAGGGGGGGGGCGGGCATGAGGCATGAGGTGTGAGGTGAAGCCTCACGGAACCTAAAATTTTAATCTATATTAATATATAATTATATTTATAACCGTATAATACTTTGTAAAAACAATTATAACCATAACTAAATCAAAAATAATATCATCTTCTTTATTACTAGGTCTAGTTGTACTTGGAAACTATGTCATATAGTCTCAAAATGTTATAATTATTTATTTTATTGTAAGCCATTATAGAGAACTTCAAAGAAAATAAGGATGAATGATCACAATTATAGGAAAATTTCAAGCAAAATAAAGGTTGAATGTTGCAATTATAAGTAATTTAAAAGGAAATAAAGGCCGAGTAAAGTAGTTATAGGGTATTTAAAATGATATAAAACAATAATTATGGAAATTTAAAGGAAAATAAAGGGTTGAGTGCAGTATTAATAGGGTATTTAAATGAAATAAATGGGGTGGAGTATTTATAGGGTATTTAAAATGAAACAAATGGTGAAAATAAAGGGTTGAATGGAGTATTTATAGGGTATTTAAAATGAAATAAAGACTAAGTGGAGCAATTATTATGGAAATTTATGGGATTTGGAGAGAGAAGGTATCTCCTTCTTCATTGAAATTAAAACGGCAAAATACATTTCAGAGAGCCTGGATTTTGAAGTAAAAAACGCCCAGATGAACGCCTCAGACGCCCTGAGGCGCACCTCTACCGCCCAGACGCGCTCTGGTGAAGCCCTCCGCCCACTCCCTCAAAACAAAGGCGGGAACACTGACACCCAACCTTAGAGGCCGCCTAGGCGAGCCTTTTAAAACAATGATTCTGATGTAAAAAGTAAATGAAGGGCATGCACATTCTTGCTAGTTCATGCCTTGATCTTGATAATTAAGTGAACGCAGATTCCCCCGGATGGAGTTAATAGCAAAACAGATACAGAATACGATTTGCATAACCTACTCCAAATAGATGGGATAAATCAGTGGTAATGTCATATACTGATTTTGCTGGTGCTGATGCTCTAGTTAGGACATGTCTTGAAATATTGTTTTCGGATCCTTTTCTTTCAAAGATCAAAGAGCCAATTTATCTATTCCGAAAGTGAACTTGGTGTTAGCTTTCTTTAATTTATGAACTGAGTAATTTTTCTTTGTGACAGATCAAGGCAAAAAGCACCTTGATGCAACTGGTTGGTGTAGATTGGCTAAGATCTGACAAGCGAGAAGATGATATTAGCAGCCGTTATGGTAGTATTGTTCAGGTCCGATCCATCAATTCTTCTAGTACCTTTTATTTTTTATACATGAACTTTTCGGCAACCTGATTCCACATACCTGCATATAAAGTACTAATTATACAAGCTATTGGATGGATGCATGCAGAAATATGCAGAACGAGGTGGATCAGAGTTTTTCTTTATTGTTAATATACAAGTAAGTTTTGATTCGAGTTTCATAAAGTAATAGCACTGCAATCATCATCAAGGAGCAGATAACTCAGTACACATTTTGATAAATCAGATACCCGGAACAACCATGCATACCTTGGCGTTTTATTACATGATGAAAACTCCTCTGGAGGAAACTCCTTTGCTACATGACTTTGTCAATGGAGATGATTCCTATAGGAACTCGAGATTTAAGCTAATACCATACATTTCTAAGGTCAGTACCTCAAGAACATTATATTCGTATAACACGTATATCTTTCATATTCAACTGTTTAACCATACATTTCTAAGGTCAGTACCTCAAGAACATATATTCGTATAACACTTATATTTTTCATATTTAACCGTTTACTTTGGTCTATTTGTTTTCTTAGGGATCATGGATAGTCAAGCAGAGTGTAGGGAAGAAAGCCTGCTTGGTAGGGCAACGGCTCGAAGTGCATTATTTCCGTGGGATGAACTATCTTGAGGTAAGTTACCACTTTACCAAACCCTTTATCGTGTTAAGTGACAGTTGAATATGCTAATGACATTTCAGATTAAGGCCGAATCATGGTATTTTATCTAATTCTAACTTATGAGATTTCTGATACCAGCTTGAGATCAATGTCGGGTCTTCAACAGTGGCGAGGGGGGTGGCAAGTCTTGTTCTAGGCTACCTCAACAATTTGGTCATGGAAATGGCATTTCTGATACAGGTAAACGACGTTCTCAAAATTTCATTGTACCTTTGTGATACAAGCTACCGTGAGTGATTCCTAAGTAAGAAAAAATTTTGCAGGCCAACACCGAAGAAGAACTGCCGGAAGTACTTCTTGGAACATGTAGACTTAACCAATTGGATGCATCGAAATCAGTTCCTGTAAAACCGTGATTTTCTTCACGCAGAAAATCTACATAAATCAAATCCTTATGAGGAAGGTGCCCAAAATATGAACTCCCAGCAAGTTAAAAAAAAAATGGAAAAAAAAATTATGTAAAAAGAGAGGTGCACCATGTTCTTGAAATGATATAATTTTTTAGGACTAGTCGTTTGGAGCTTGATCCGTTGTGGTGTGATTGAATTGTTATCCAACTCAAAAAAAGAAAATCCAGCTCATCACAGAAGGCAAATTGTAGTTTGTTTTCGATAGAATGGGTTTTGTAGATGAGTGTTTATTAGCGTTTACTCCTAAATTCGGAGGTTCTGTATTTGAATCTCACCCTCCCAGATATAGCTCAAAACATATTACTATTTCCGTTGCTGCGTCCATACAGTCTATTCGAAGTTTGTTATCTGTAAAAGTTACTCATCAAAAACACAAGGGAAAATTTATGCTCACATATCAAATAGTGTATTCTTTGCAAGGAGGATGTCTCCTTACACAAATGGCATTTCTTAATTTGTATGCAAGCGCCACCTTCTCGAACTTCCTTGGAACCTTATCATGTTTAAATTTTCCTACTCACCGTTGTATTTTCATAAAATATCACGTAACTAATAATTAGTTGGTTTCGACATTAGATACACTTGTAAGTAAGAAATTTTATGTTCGACTCTTATGAATGACAAGCTCGATACTTGGTTATGGATGTCTTATTGCATGGCTTAGTATGAATCGTCGTCCGCTAATATGGTGGTATACAAATAGAAATAAAAAAATTAGTTGGTTCTTGGGTGCGTTTCAAAATGCATAAAACATGAGGATGGTTAGCTCAAATATGTTGAATATGTAGCAGCTTGAAAATTGGGCCAAGTTTGCAAAGGCTTTAACCTGGCTTGGGTTTGTAACAAGTAATCTTAAGTGATTAGCGTAGTATTAGATTAGGGATGATAATTTATAATACGAAACGAATCAAAGCTAACACGAAATTAGCAAGTTTGTGTCAACACTTTACACAAGCTCCTACACTCAAAAATTTGATTAACTTAAACCATGGCTTTGATGAGGTCATTCATGCTCATCTCCTCTTGTACGATATTTTCTTATAAATGAATACCATACTATTTTTCTCAAAAAAATGATGACAAAGTCGAGTCAGTGTCAAACACAAATCAACTGACATACAACATGTTTAGCTAAAATTCATACAAACTCAAAATTACAATGTTTTAACCTAACCCATAAGGTCATACGGAGTTACAATTTAGTATCAGACTCAATTCTTATATATCGTCCTCTAATCCCTAGATGCTGCATGCACGAACTAGTAGTAGGGTTTCCTAGGACCTGTCACTTCATACCAAACGCAACTTCAAAATTTTCCACAAAATATTTTAATCAATCATGCAACCAATCTCGGCAATGATCAAACCCAGGTCAAGTTAGCACAACCCTTGAAAAATACATTCTCTCTACAACATTATGTATAGAATTCCCGACATATTATCTGAGTCCCTACAATCAAAACATAACGAGAAATCCAAAGAAACGCTTCTGAAAATTCAATTATATAGTACAAATTACAATTGTGGTTGGAATTTAATGGCATGTTTTAAGACTGGTTTGGAAGTGTTTTTGAAATGATTGAAACCGTTTTCAGTGAGAATATTTTTGGGTTCTAAAATCACTTAAATGTTTCCTACGAGAAACATTAGTATGTATTTTTTACAGGAAGCACTTCAAATGCTTTTCTAAGATTCATTTGCATTTTTATTAAGAATTGGTTTCAAAAACACTTTCAGCCATTTTAAAAACACTTACAAACAATTCATTCACACGCTACTATTACTTACATGGTTATCAAATCAAATAATAACAACAATAATACGAAGGAAATTGTTATTAGCACTCTAAATTTTTCATTCTACACTCCAAATTTTCTATATTTAGAAAGAAAAATACATTTATGAGGAGTGTAGAATGAGATTTTTAGAGTCTTTCCTAAGATGAATAAGCCAAAATACAAAGTATAAACTAAAATTAAAAAATGACAATAAAAAAAAAGAAATTAATTATTTTTTAAAGGGATTGAGTTGCCTATTTCTGAGGACTGGCTTACTGTTAATATAACAAGTCCAATTTGAATTTTAAGTGACGAAACAAAAAAACGAACTAACTGAGCACAAGCGGACTTTTTTCGATTTTTTTAACACCGTTCACATATTCATTGTTCAAATGCCCACCTCTTAAAGAAATTTTATTTTAGAAAGGTTGACACTGTGACAACAACTAACAAACAACTAATTTACTATTTAAAATACATAACAATTATTTATTCATGAGTAATGCTAGAACAATACATTTTTATTTTTCACACACGCCTTTCAATTTTTTTAACTGTCGAACGAATAAATTAAAGAAAATCAATGAACAAAAATTATCAAAAGTGTGTGAATAGCACTACCGTACATTTTAAAACAATATATTTTTATTTTTTACACAAGCCTCTCAATTTTTTTTAACTGTCGAACAAATAAATTAAAAAAAATCAATAAACAAAAATGATAAAAAAATGTATGAATAGTACTGGCGTACATTTTAACTTAAGATAGTTCCTCTCCATGGAGTAGGATTCCCTTCCTTCTTCTTTTTTTCTCCCCTTCCCTTCCCTCCTAATTGAACGATCACGGTTAAACCACGTCAATATCTTATATTAATTTTTTTATAACAAAAGAAAGACAAAATAAAATAATATGAAAAGAGAGGATGAAAAAAAAGAGATAAGACAGTCCTAGTTCTCTCTCCACATTCCCCCTTGTACGAAGACTTCACTAGCCCAATATACAAAAAACAAAAACAGATGTCCCTTTTATGTCAAATGTAAGTCACGTGACGAACAAATAGCTTAACATATGGTCCCCCACTCCCACCAATCAATGCATTTACTATGGGCACTTACGAGACAATAGATTTTTCAATATGATCGGAATATGGAATAGTACATCATGTGTTACTATACAAATAGTGATATGTGTGTTAATAACTTAATAATTTAAAAAATATAATTTCCTACCATTTATATAAAAATACATGATGTACCATCCGTGTTCCGGTCAGCAATGACAAATTTCTCCCACGACACCACTCTACAATGAACCACACCCAATCCCTCGCCCTCAACCCCATCGGTTTTCCTGTACTTTCAGCACAAATCCCAACAAGTTCCACGTCATCTGTGTGTAACGTACAACGACAACCAACGAAAAATTAAGCACATTTTACCGTCCAAATATGTATCAGAGTCAAAATATCCAACCGGAAAATATATAAATAGAATGTAACCGGGAATGGAGCTGGCGTGTCGGTGCCGATAGCAGGTTTGAAGTTTGAGTGGGGAGAGTAACCGGGAGTGAGAGGTGAACGGGTCTGACAAATTTTGTGTCTTACCCGTTACGGAAGGTTTTGATGGGCCCCAATACCGATACACTGGGGATCCTAAATCGTCGGTGAGTTTATTTTTGACTCTCGTGACAGACTCTGTATCTCTAACGGTTTTCAGTTGTTTTTCTTACTAAATGTACAATTATGTATGTCAAAGGTTTAAAATATCTATAAAATTATCAATTTTCAACGAAGTATTTGAAAAAGTAAAGATCGATTAAAGAAAGTGATTCACTATTAAAGATCAATTAAAATTAAAGAAAGTGAAATGAAAACTTCACCTTTTATTGGTGAGATATAAAAAAATTAATTAATATTAATGACATGTACTGATTCACTATAAAAAATTTGATAAAACTCATTACAAATTTCAAACTTTTGAATTATACCATCTATTGCAATTTTCATAATTTTCATCAAAGACAACCGATATCAATATCGATATTTCCATAAATTTGCATATCAATATTCCAACTATATTAATATTTTAAACATTGTGTGTGTTTTACTTAAAAGTAATTTAATAATGAAATTCAACATCTGATTTATATAACTTAAATGATTAAGAACGTTAGTTATATGCTTAATATGCTTATTTCAATCTCATTAAAGAAGTACAAAGGGACGTAAGTCACGAAACTCTTCATGCTAAATTCCAACACAAAGTTCTATTCTCTTTAACTTTTTCTATGTATGTTTGTTCGTTATAACCCTAACTTGGTTAAATCCTCCCGTCCAATAGGGCAACTTGGTGTAGGAGAATCGGGTTAGGATTCTAATTACGGTAGGTTTTGTAATCCTTATTACCTTACTTACAAGATGGGCACATGCCATTAAAAAACATACAAATTTTTGTTTATTTGGTGAGAAAACCCTTGAAAACGACCTAAGCAACCGACGATTTCGACCACATGTCACAAATTGAATCCCTGGGCATATGATGATTCATCTGATTTCCAAATTAACTTAATTAAGAACACTAGCCTATAGTACGACCTAAGGAACAAACAATTAATCATCTGTTAATTCAAGTTTAATATGTGTTTTTTTTTAATATGATTTGTCCTCGCATTCAAACTTCAGGTTGACTTTAGATAGAATGGTTCAAACTGAACATTTCTCTACACAGTTTTGTATAGGTTTTTACATAGTTGGTATACGCATAATGTCGAACATTATGCACATGGTTAGAGTCCTGTTCTTAGAAAAACAACCTTTTTCTTTATACAACTATTTTGAATAGCGAATCAATCAAACAATCCCTTAATAAAACAAAATAAAATAGGAACACTTTGCAGAACCCACGATATTTCGGGGTAAATAAAAGAGTAATGCTATCAACACATTTATTTTATTTCTCGCACGCTCATTTTAATTTTCAAGTAAATATAAGTGAGCAGAGAAGAGCTTTAATTGCTATCAACACGAAAAAAGCTATTTGTTACAAATCATGTGCAAATACAAGCAGGCATTCAATAAGAGCCCATTCTCTGGTAAAAACTTTGCTTGCCTTATTAGCTCAATTGTTACGAGCATAAGACGTAAAATACCAAAAAAAGAGTGAGTAATACTTTTCATAAATAACTCTCCAAAACTACGAACTGATTTTTTTTAGATATGGCCCACATATGGGCCCTACGTCACAATTTAGTCGCCAACAATGCATTGTACGGCAGTTCTGTCCGGGCCCACAAAGCCTTGTGCTCATGGCCCACTGCCCATCT